AGGTAAGTGAGTGACGATTAGAGGGAGTTAAAAAATGAGTTATGGCTTTACTTCCAAGTTTGACTTTGTTACAAAAAGAAAAATGGATACTCCTCCCACTTCCTATAATATACTGCACACCATGGACTTACACAGGGAGCTCAAATAAAGAGTCTGGTGTTCAGTGAGACGTGTTTGCTGCACAGAGCATTCCCTCCCAGCATCTGACACACACGGAGACTATTAAGATTCCACAACGCACCCAGATTCCAGAAATTGCCAGAATAAACATTGCTCCATAAATATCTGCGTATTAGATTTGCTGTATTAGTAACACATTTCTTAAAATTAAAAAGTGATTTACAAATTGAGGGAATAAACCGGACATATTTTAAATAGTAAACTGTCATTTTGAGCAGTTTTGTATCTACTCTTGTGGGTTACACCCGAACTGCAGGTATTTGAACTATTTGTTGGCCCTGTACATTTTCACTAGTGTAGCAGTAGCTTAAAAACACAATTTCATGCCCTTTATAGCATTCAGAAATACCGAGTACAAATCACACAGGCCAGACAGCTAAACTTCTTATCTTTGATTTAACCCAGCTTCAGTCTTCAGCCTGATGAACTCTGAGGTCAATAGGGGCTCTTGGATGTAGCACTGACCCCATTTGATGTTCTCACAGAACTTCATCCAAAGTATTTGTGGTTTTACACAAATTAATGTCCCGGACTGATATAAAATATAGAGCACAATCAGGGCGATAGTTTTCATGCAAATCATATGGTCCTATAGGTTTAACTGCATATATTACTAAGCCAATTACTACAGCGAAGGAAGAGTATAATAAGAAAATATGTCAGGGATGTTTTTTTTGAAGTCCTTCTGTCTGTCATCAACATTCAGATTTTTATGAAAACTTAGTGGAAGGGTGTTACATGGGCACAGGAATAGCCCCAAAAATTGTGAAGCAGATCTGAATCACAGGGCGGATACACCAACGTCTCTTTAATTTCACCACATTGCGAGATACGACTTTTGTGTTGCAATTATGAAATATCTGAAAAAATGTTTCCATGTCTCAGATTTCAATCATTCTAGATTTACACTATTAGGAAACACAGGATATACCTATTGAAACTGACAACTCTGTCACACAGGAACAAAAAACACCCATACTTTTAGTGAATCTGACTAAGTAGAGAAGCCTTCTACACGCTCTTACGACCAATAACAATGTGTTTGGAGATGTTATGGTCGAATCAATAATGTTTCTCCACTGTGGAAAGAACCGTTTTTAATAACGCAGCTTTATGTGGGACAGCAGTGGTCTCGTAGCACGCTGCTGTTGACACAATGGAGAGAGTGTGGGCTGTAGTATCAAAGAGCTGGAGACTGGTTTGAACCACTCAGGGCGGTAAACACTTGGAGGAACACAGTGATCTGGTCCCAGCAGCTAAGAGGGTGCAGGCATCGTCACTATCATCACACTGTGGTAGCAACATAACAACATCTCCAAGGCTCTATTCCAAACATTTCTTTGTTAAATATAATTGCTTTTTTATTGAAAATGGAGAGACAGGAATAGGCATCACTCATGAAATAGAGTAGCTGCAGAAGAAATAAATACAGATTGTTTTCCTACTATCCAGAATAAACACACCCAATTGATGTTGAAATCAAGCCAAAGGGTCCTTAACAAACGTCCTGAGAACTACAATTATCTAGTAGAACTACTTTAAAACTGGATACTATCTGCTTTTAACACAAATGTGTCCTAATATACTTTATGTCACTCACAAATGGCATCCCATTCACTGTAACAGCAGATCTATTTAACCAAAACAACATCCAAACAAGTTTAGTGTAGAGAACAGGGTCACATCTACGGTATTTCACTTTAAATTTGAGTCAAAAATAACCACGAGGAGGTGAAGACAAACAAGGCGGGATTACATAACTGACATAACTGTGCCAGGTGAGATAAAGCTCACAGCCTCATTAATACCCAGACACTTCTGAGAAAAACAAAGTTGCTGTTAGTTCAGTGTTTATCAGCGTGGAATGAATACTTCAGATGGTGCATTAATATATGTTCTCCACAGACTCCACTGCCTGTGTTTACCCTCTCTTACACTTGCTCTCATTTTCCTCTCCTCCCTCCCCCCTGTGTGTTTTTCTCTCGCTTTCTATTTCTCTCCGTCTCCTCTTTCCCTCCCCTTCATTTCCATCCAAATACTCCCTGCACTCTCCACTTATTCAGACCTCACCACTTGAACCTTCGTGTAATTACAAAGAGTGGCATATCATTATGGAGTTTCTGAGAGGATTGGGAAATGTTTGGATTGAAGCCAACTTCTATAATTTGTGAAATGTGTCCTGAGTGTTGACTGCAGATATGTAACTAACGGTAAAACATGCAGTGTGATAAATGGGGCACCGCTACACAACTCTAGTGAAGATGAATAAGAAAGCGCAGGGGGAGAGTATGTGGAAGGTGAGGGGGGAGACAAAGGAATGTTTGTGTGTAAATCTCTACCTTCAGTGTCAGTGTGTGTGTCTTCAGGTGAGGGGTTGTCCTGGCCCCATTCTGCAGCACTGTAGATCTGAACCACCAGGAGCCGCTTCAGTGACACCAGGTCGGCGTCTTTGAGCCCCTTCTCCAGCTGACGAACAACACCCCTCCCTGGCTGGCTGGTCACCACGGTCACCTGTCAATATAGCAGAGAGTAATGCAAAAAAGGTCCCAGCAAATCGAAAATACAAATGATTTAACTCAAATGAGAACAGTTTAAATTCCATAATATCTAACATTTCGGCATTATATGTTCAAAAAAGGACTACACTTAGTTTAATATTTGGTTAAGTTGTGTTCCAATTGCTACCACACATTATACTAAGTGTTCCCAACCATTTTCAAACCCAAAGAAAGGGGATTCAAAGTAATGCATTTCATTTGGTCTTCTGTAATGGCAGTGTATTGCCTTTGCACACGCTCCAGCATTGTAGTTTTCTGCCAAAAAGTGTTCATATATGACTTTTTATTAAGTTTAAGACCACATTTTTACAAGCTTTTTTTAGATCTTGGTAGTTTTTAACTATACATTTGACCGGATGAAGGATTTTAGTAATCAAAGGCCTGAATACTTGAATTGATCAGGGAAACAAGATGCATCGCTTCAGATTAAAGAGGAGAGTTGACACTGTTGCTCCTTATTAACTACAATAAAAAACCTCAAAGCATTTACAATTTTAATATTATCAAGTCACATTCCTCCCCACAACTCCTTCCTAAACTCCCACTTCTGAATTGTTACAGCTGGCGTCATGAAAGATGGACTTTGTGTTTGAAGTTGTCATATGTTCTAAAGAACAAGCCACAACATCACCACAGCAAAGCATTCTTTGGGACTGACTGTTGAGTTTCTTTTGTACTTTAGAGACGTGACATACAGTTAATTACTGTTACTAAATCAAACACATGATGTAAGCACCGCTGTCAAAGTCTCAGTTAAGCAAACTCCCTCTAACTGAAAAGTGGCGCACTATATGTTATAATGACAAAGCTCCACACTGAAATTATGTTTTCATGAGAAAAAAAAACACAACTTTAACTGCCATCTTAACATATGATCTGAAAGGTTAATGTTTTCTGTAACTGAGCTATTATTATCTCACGGTCGTGGCGCCGGGAATAAACAGAACTGCTGGTGATGCTGTACGTTTTCTAGTTATCCAAATTATTTTCATAATGAATATTTCTGCTGTAAGAGCGTATTTAAATAGGCACTCAGTATGTCTAATGACGGAAAGAGATGATATTAGTTTCCTGTTGCATTTACATGTCTAATGGGGGGAAACCGATAAACTAATGTCCCAACTTCCTAAATCCCATTAACAGTAAATGATGATTATAATGGGATTATTGATGGGTTCTGCTCCCGCTTCCTGCTGTTTGGCCAAAAGCAGAATCTGCTGCTGACATCCACACACATATGAAGGCTTAAAACATATGTATAAATCAGGACATGTATTGAGTAAGTGGATCAGCAACACACACACACACACACACACACACACACACACACACACACACACACACGCACACGCACACGCACACGCACACGCACACACAGTGCCCATCCCCCCACATGGACCACACCTGGCACACGCAATACATGTTCAGTGTCTGTTCTTTGTATATTTACTGCAGTTGTTCATGTATACCAGTAGTCTGATACAATATGTACAGTTTGAAAGGGTGTTCAAGGAAATTTGATGATGATTGGTTTTTGTGTTAATGTAATAGCAGTTAAAACAGGACCGGTCAAATTTGACCGAATACCAAAGTAAGGGGGGGGACGAAGACAATAGGAGGTGATTATGCACTTTGGCATTGGTTCTTTTAATTCAGTAAACAAAATATTATAATAACCTACAAAATAAAGAACAGTTACATTATACAGTATTTTACTGTAAATTATTTTATTTTAGCTTCTGTCGTAACTATATTACATGTATATATTGTTCTAGCTTGCACCCACAGGCTGTATATATAAAGCTTGCACCATTATGTCTATTTACACTGTTCTGTATTTAACTTTAATTTCTGTATATAGTTGACTTATTGCTGCATTGTACCTGGACCATTGTCTTGCAATCTACTTTATTGAATTCTTCTTGCAGTAGTTTGATTTCTTTTTGAGTATATTCTATATTGTATTGTTACAGGAGACTGGGACTTACACTTCCAACAACTACGCTATAACTTTTGTGTATATAGGTCAAATAAAGCCTTTAAATCTAAAGTGTGTATGTGTAGCTAATTCCTGGTATTGCACACATGCGCACAGACGAAACGCTGATTTAAAATAAGCTGAAGTTTAGTCTGCCGTGTCACAGTGACCCAGTCATGAGTCTCAGCTCCATATCTGCAGAAACTCATAGGTCAGCCTGATATACTGATAACAAGGAACATCAGGATCCATGCTCCTAATGAATGTTACTGTGCTTTACTTTCTCAAACAGCCTCCATAAAGAGAGCACATGTGAAGGATGCATGAAAGTAAATGTCAGACAAGAATCAGGGTGTTTTAGGTGCAGTTTAAGTCAGAATATAAATAACACCGTTGTTAGAAGAAGCATGACATAACAGCCGGGGTTAAAGTGCATTATGCGACTTAAATCATGATTACTGCAGTCTGAGATCAGAAGTGGGGAGAAGCACTCACATTTTAAAGGGAAAGTTATACATAGTCATACAAATATAAACACATTTGACTGAAAAGTGGGAATAACTACTGTTATGTGGGAATAAAAAGTGATTCAAAAAAAGAAATAAAAATTAAATAAAAAATAAAGACACCACATTTGCATCCTGTGTTGCAGGGAAATAATACACTTTTCTTTTTTTAAAAGGAACAAAAGAAATAATAATAATTGTACACCGACTTCTTGTTGTTGTGGTGAAATATAAAAACTAAAAACAATGACTTAAAATAAAACAAGATTTAGAAGACCTGTACAACATGTTCATCTCTTTTTGTAGTGACATTTTAAGTCTTATAAACAAACAAATACATTAAATTAAAAACAAATGTACACGGTCTTCATCTGTTGTTGGGTTAAAACAAATAAAAGACATTAAAGAAGTCGTAGAAGCAAAACACTTTCAGGCGCTGGAGGAAATGTCTTAGGCATTTTTTCGGACACTCGTCTCATCTTGTACTATATTTCCGTCATGGTCAAAAAACCAAGCAAATCCTGCACTCTGATTGGCTGATTCACTTGAAGTGCATTTTGGAAGGAAATCCATTTCACAGTCTTCATAAAAAAAATGTGTGACAGTGACTTCTGACTGTCTGTACTTCAGGCACTTATTTCTTCTTATTTTCAGGATTTCAGTCCAAATCTGGCCATCATCTGCTCGTACACGGTCCAGGCCATGGCGGCCATCATGGTCCTCCTCAGGGCTCGAGGTACGGCTCCTCTGAAGAACCCCTGCATTTTTTGCTCCTGAGAGAGAAGAGAGAGATCCATGATGGTAAATAACATGATAATGGGTAACATGGTTGTTTAAAGAGGACATCTCCTGCTGATGTTCAGGTGTATATCAGTATGTAGTGTCTCTACTTTAAAGAGTCCTCTCCTGCTGATGTTCAGGTGTATATCAGTATGTAGTGTCTCTACTTTAAAGAGTCCTCTCCTGCTGATGTTCAGGTGTATATCAGTATGTCTCTACTTTAAAAAGTCCTCTCCTGCTGATGTTCAGGTGTATATCAGTATGTAGTGTCTCTACTTTAAAGAGTCCTCTCCTGCTGATGTTCAGGTGTATATCAGTATGTAGTGTCTCTACTTTAAAGAGTCCTCTCCTGCTGATGTTCAGGTGTATATCAGTATGTAGCGTCTCTACTGTGACATGTCTCCATGCTTTAATGTTCAAAAAGCTCTTCACGTACAATGTGTAGCATGATTGTTACATAGTGATGTCATTATGTTCAGGAAGTAAACAAAGGAGTCCAATGGAGGCTTTTCGGGTTGATATTAGGTTTTGTGTTCATTTAAATAATAAAATAAAGCAGATGAAATTACAGTTACCCTGTAGATGTGTCTGATGGCCTCGGCGGTCCTCAGGTGTGTGTTCACCTGGACCCGAGTCTTCACCACGTCAGCCGGCTGCGTGATCAGGGAGGCTAACACCCCCGAGAGCAGCCCACAGGAGAAGTTATAGAGGGGGGCGGAGGGGGAGGAGCTGATCTCTGAGGGGAGGAGAGAGAGGGGTTTAATACAAAGGAATTCATAATTATAGTAAAGAATAAATACATTTAATTTTTTTTAACCCAAAGGGAAATACAATTTTGTAACAGTGTCCTCATGTTAGAATAAAACACATTTTAAATAGTTATATAAACAAAAAAAAGTAAATGTATAATAGTGTAAAATATAATAATGTATATTAACATAAAAAATAAGTAAAAATGTGCAAAAAATATCAAATATCAAATAAATCGATTTATCCCAATGGGGGAAATTATTTTGTTACAGAAGCAGTGTGTTCAACATTAAAATACAAATACTTAAATAGTGGAAAAGAGAATTACGAACTAAATTAAAAATGAAAAATAACGTATTTTTATAGTAAAAAAGCTATAAAAATAAATAAATACTTTATACAAACATAATAAATCAAATAATAAAAATGTAAAAAACAATGTATATTACGATATATTTTGAGCGTTTGCTGACCTGTGGGGAGCGCCGCCTTGGCCTGGCTGTAGAACATGACGTAGATCCCGGAAAAGGGAACGTCTCGGAGCAGCGTCGCCGTGAAGCCGGAGAAGAGAGCGGCCGGACCCTCCGTCACACACACACTGCGCAGAGCCCCACACACACTGCTGTACCTGAACTTGCCACACTGAGACACACACACACACGGTTAATGGGCAAATAGTGGTAGCTGTGATGTACAAACTATACAGGAATAAATAAAACGCTAGCTTGATTAAAGGTCTCCTATCATGGAAAATGCACTTTTTGATGTCTTTTATACATAAACATGTGTGCCCGGTGTGTCAGGGAACTCACGCAGCATCAGAAAATAAAACCCTCTCTCTTTTCCTCCGTACCCAAATCTCTAAAAACGGGGGAACAACGGAGCTGATCCAGATTTGCGTCCGATATGACGTAATATCTGAAATGTGGACCCACGGCCTTATCAGAAACGTTGCTATCAGAAACAATGCCCGGCTGTTTCGGACGTAATATGGTCGGTGTTTACATTAGCATCGCTAACACTCAGAGCTAACCTATAATGGAGAGCATGTGTGTGAAGAAGTAGGAAATTAAAAAAAGGAACTCACCTTGTGGTATAACCGGCAAGACAGAAAGCCTTTGAGCTCCATACTGTTTCAGAAATAATCCTTGATATGGTTTGGAACATGATGGCGTTTAATCACGGCAGCATTTAGCTGAGTATCTCGTAGAATTCTCCCACATGAGCAGGCATAAGCTCCCCCCCCCTTTTCTTAAAAAAAAACATTTATACCCAGAATCAGCACTTTTGAAACAGGAAGTGAAATAGAGGGATATGAGGGATGTCTAAAATCCATGATCTGTTTGGTATTTTGAGAAAAACACTTCATGACAGGTTTTTTTATATACCGTAATTTTCGGACTATAAGCCGCGCCTTTTTCCCTATTTTTCGACGCTGCGG